TTGTTGGTTTGAGACATTTTGCTGCCCATCGAAGCAGGTTCTTCAGTCTGTGCAAGCTGGTTAGGCATAGAGTCATTGGAATGTACCAACTCCTTCCACACCAAACTCAAGGTTTTCCCCCCAAAGCGCATGGCAATATGTCAATAAAGATTCATAGTCATCTAGACAGACTCAATTTTCAGACAATTCTATTTGGAGGACTGAAAACCTTCATCAATATATTGTTTACTTGATGTGTAACTAACTTGTTAAGCTTAGTTGCGAATTTAGAAGTGAGTTTCTCATTTTAAAAGATGAAGGGATAAAGGTCCTGATCTAAAATTATTTTCCTTTTTGTGTGTTTGTAATAAACATAAATCAATTTATCAGTGCCACAAAAAGCAAGCAGGCAAGTTAGTACTTTCAGAAATATATCTCATTTTTAAAGCTGTCATTTTCCATTATTAAAATGAATGCGATTACCTATTGACAATGAATCCATTAACTATTAATTAATTATGGATTCTTATAGCTGCTCTTATTGATCAGACACCAGATGTGATCATTATGGAAGGGGATAAAACCACACTGAGATGTTCTCAATCTACGACCAAACACGTATACATGTCCTGGTACAAGCAAGAGAAGAGAAGAGAAGCCGGTTCCCAGTTCCAGCTGGTGGCTTTTACATCTGAAGGTTCTGCAGGAGACTCTGCCATTGAGCAACCTTTTCAAAAACGCTTCACGACCACAGGGATGAAGTCATTTGTCTTCCCTCTGTTTCTGGAGAAGGCCCAGCTGGAAGACACAGGCACCTACTACTGTGCTTCACAAGACCACACAGCCAAGCAAATGCTGAGGAAGCCAAGCCAAAACCTCTTCACAGGAACTCCCCCCCACACTCCGTGACAGATCCTTCTCAATAACTGACACAGGAGGGAAGCCATGAGCTATTCCTTATATTATAGAAACAGTACTCACTAAGATGAGCTAGAGCAGGCTTATGATTGCACTGGTGGGTCAGAATTGCATTTTATTGTCTAGGTGTAGAGTCTGCTCAGTGGTGACACCCAGTTATGCATCCCTCCTTTTAATTAACGTTGCATGATTCTGCAGCCGTTAATTTGGCATTTTCAGAGTTATAAGCAGACTGTCATTGTAACTTGTATTTCTATTCTTTTATGCTTAATTTTTTTATTTCTTAATTTAATTTTTAATTTTTTAATTCAGGTAAACATTCGGAGGCAGAGTAGCAGATAGCTAGATAGTTAGTATGGGAAATTCATATAAATTTTTGCATGTGACACACGTATATATGCCAGAATCCACACTCCAAATGAAAGAAGGCCAAGACATTAAAAACAAACAAACAAATGAAGTAATATTAATTAAAATGTCCAGTCTCCTGCTAGATTGTACTCCTGGCCCTCTGACTAAGAGTCTCTTTCTTAAGGTGGCCAACCAGGAAGCCCACTAGTCTTTCAGCAGATGGGAGGCAGTTAGACTGTCATCAAGGCTAATAGCCATTGATCCCCATGAATTGGTCCAGCCCTTTTGTGAAGCCAGCCAAGTTGGTAGCCAGTACTATATCTCTGAATTTAACTATCCTATTTAATTCAACTATCCTATTTACAAAACTAGTTCATTCATTGACACCAATCTTTTTCCCACATTCAAAAACCTAAAAGTATGCATATTTGTATCCACAAACACACATTTCCTTCCTCCTTTCCAGCTGGAGGAGAAAGAAGAATGAGGAAAAATCAACTGGAGGTATGCTGGGATGGAATAAAAAAAGGATGAACAAAAACAGAGATGAAGCAAGGGTGTTTTTTCGAGTAGTGGTCTGTATATAGCTGAGGAGAACCCTGGACGAAATGAGTTATCTAGACCCATTTCAGTCAGGTTTCTGGCTGCAGTTTTGTACTGACAGAGCTTTGGTTGCACTTGTTGTGGAGCTGCAATAGTAGTAGCACACCCATCATTGTGCTCCTTTATCTCTCAATGACTTTCATCGCCATTGGCCATGGCATCTTCTGAGCCAGTTCTGTAGGTTGAGGGTTTAGGACCATTTTGCAATGGTTCTCTTCCATTCTTATGGCTGGTTTGTATCAGTGATGACTGGTGGGGAAAGGTTATCCTTTAAGCCCCCCACTTGTATGGTGCTGCAGTATTCTATTCTCTCTCCCCTCCCTTTCAACATCCACATGAGGTCATCCACTGGTTTAGTGTTTGTTACCCTCAGTACATCAAGCACATAGAAATACATGAAGGGGTGGTTTGTTCTCTTTACTTTACATGCAAACATATACACTTACAGTATAGAGACAAATCCCCCTAAAGTTCAGCAACTTTGCCTTACAACAGTTCAAAATCAAAATGGCATGCAAGACAGTAGTCAGGTGGAGTCTGAGGATCAGAGCTTGTGGCAGAACTTGGTCCGGGTTCAATGTGCATGACTCAAGGTACAAAGAGTGTGAGTTAATGGGCAGTTTCAACAGAGAGCTTGTGCTTGCTACTCCATTTAGTAAAAGCAGCCTCAGTGGAGTTCATCTGATGGGCTCTGGAGCTGGCTGCTCATCCTTGGTCCTTTGACTCTGAATCTGAGCCCACCATGATAGCTGATGGCACCCAATTATATATTTTGACTCCAAACCAGCCAAGTGAGGCTGTCAAGGTTGACTCTAACTGAATCCTACCAAGACTGAATGTAGGTATTTGGACCACCTGGTTGTATTTCCCCATTCAAGAATGGTGCACAATTTGAAAGTCTTGTTGGTTGTATACCTCCTGCTCAATGGGCAGGGAGTAACTTTGACCAGGAAGGCTTTTGTCCACTTCAAAACTGCAGGCACCACTTCCAAAAATCACTTTCAAATGACTTCCAGAAGTCACTTCCAAAATCACTTCCAAAAATCACTTCCAAAAGCATTTCCAAAAATCTTGGTAAGAAAACTGCAGTTTACCTGCAATGAGTATTTTAAAGATTTCGAGATGATATATTTTGTATACAACTCACTTTCTCTATCTCTATCTCTATCTCTATCTCTATCTCTATCTCTATCTCTATCTCTATTGTTAAACAATATGGGCCAGATACTTTAGCAGCTTCATGAACATACAAGGATGTTTGTGAGATTTTTTTTTAAAAAAATATTGCAGTAAACAAATGTTGGCCTGACATTGATTATATACAGTATTTATGATGCCACTTTCCTTCCCAGGTAATACTGTTTTGAACCACTTCCTTTGAGTGTTTTCTTTTGGTTTTCCTTTTCCTTGCACTCACACACCTTCCTGTTCTCATACCTGCATCTTGTGGCACTATGTCAGTATAACAAGACAGACCAGACTAAGAAACAACAGCATATAAAGCAGTACTACTTTTATTGGGACAGCTATTGTAACAGGATAAAGTTATTTTCTTGGGCTGGGCTCAAGCTCCATTTATCTTATGTGCTTTGCTAGCAGCTCTTTCTCTTGTTCTTCAAGATTATTCCCTATGCCGTCTATACACTGGGCACTTGATGAGTGTCCAAGATGTTAGGTAATCTGTACTCTCGGACAAATGTCTGCTTAGCTTTCTCCTTGTGTTGAGATGACTATTTCCTGTCTGTCATGTCTAAACTGGTAAGCATAACTAGAAGAGCTTAATATATCCTGACCTTAAATCGATATTTTTATCAGATTCTTTAACATTTTTTCCAGTAGAGAGCAATGTTGATTATATGGATCTACAGTGGTTAAAGTTCATGGGAAATCACACATCTCCAATGCTGTTTCCTGACCTAATTTTTACACATTAAAACAGCAGATATATTATTGTACGTGGACGTGTTTTCGCATTCTATTCTATAGTTAACAGGGCAAGGTGATTCAAATGAGAACACAGTATAAAGGAGTAAGATTAATTATATAGCTTTGATTTACAGCAATTCCTGCTCCAACATAGCTACCTTTGTGAATGGTATGGTCTGGTGTTTATGGATTGGATAACTGGGTAATCAAACTGGGTTTTGTTTAGTCTGACTGAATGCTTCTCTCTATCATCTCTCTAGCAAAGGTTTCAAAGAACTTCTGCCACATGCGCTGAACAACAACAATGACTAGAAGCAGTTCACCTTGTAGTCCAGTTATCTTATTAGGCTTTAGAGCAGTTCGCAGAAACTTTCCATGTCATGGATCCCTTTTAAACTTCTGAGCTGGTTATTATTGTGATGTGTGCTCTTCCTCACTTTCTCTAAAAGGCACCTCATTAGAATGAGTCGCCAGCCCACTATGTAAGAATTCATTTGATCAAGTGTCCCATAACATTGCAATACGTACAAGATTAAGACTTCCTTTCGCCCTGGGGAGCAAATCTGGTTTACCAAAGGGAATCTTTCTTGCCACACCCTCCTCAAAAGAGAGCTTTTTATTCAATCCCATATAGTCTTTTATAATAATAGATGCCAATTCAGAGAACATTTCAGCAAAACTTTAAAAATACAGATATGAACAACTGGGAAATGCCTCTTTGTAATTAGACAGTGATTGAAACAGCAATGTTTTCCAGGATCTGTGAGTTGTAACACTGAAAATTCCTGGTAAAATTTGACACCTAGGAAATAAATCTATTTTGCTACCAACATAGAAATCCATTCTTCTAGCAATTCAAGTTAAGCTGAGATCTTACTGAAATACTTGTGTCATAACCTGAACTCTTTTCCTCCTAAATATCGTAAATCATACCTCTGAGGGACTAGCGCTTAGGACTGTCTCCAATTTAGGTTGCTAAGTTGTCTGCCTATGTGAAATAAAGGGTAGGTGGGTAACAAAACAGACCCTCTGTATGGCTGCCTGTAAATGGTGGAATGTAGCTACCCCCAGCAATTTGGTTGACTCCTTCACTTCCTAGTATTCAGGAGCATACTCAAGACTGTTTCAAAGTTGTCTTTGATGTATATGCATAACTGATTCAGACTGGGTGATTATTGTTTTATATTTATATTGCAGTTAACAGACACCTTCTGACCTCAGATCATCATCATCATCATCATCATCATCATCATCATCATCATCATCATCATCATCATCAT